GATGGAATATGGTAATGTAGGAATTCTTCACTCCGAAGCAACAAGCATCTCAGTACAACAGGTAGGAAAAAAAGTTATTGGCTTCACGGTGGGGCTTCTTGGATCCTTGCAAAGCAGAATGTAGGGCAAAATGTAATATAGTCTAATCAGCATTCTTACTAGAACACTTAAATTCAGGAAGATATCTGAAATCATATCCAATCTGGCATGTATTTACACTACTCCCTTCCATCCCCATTGACTCCCAACATGATGCTTCTTCCAAGTGACCATTCATGCTCTGAGCAGAAGTGGCCTGACTGCTAATGCAAACAAATTCCCTGGAAAAAGCCTGTCAAAACCAATGGGGAGTACATAGCTTTAGCCATAGATTCCAAGGCAGGCAGTAATAGAAACCGCTTTGTGTTTTCCTTGGTCTGGCTTCTCTTCTGTGTTAAAGGAGAAACAGTCAACGTATATGCTATGCTACTATATAAAAAGGCTGAATGGTTCTTCGTTCAGATAAAGCTAGTTCATTCTGTGGCTCATTAGTAGCAGTATAGCTATCAAGCAATCAGATTGGCATATAACTATTCACAATTAACTAGACCTAACTCAAAAGTGTTAACAAATCAAGAAGACCTGCCTTAGTGAGTAAATATTGCAAATAAAAGAATTCTTGAATGACACAAAAGGTGGAAGAAGGGTTGTTCTTTCAGCCAAGAGAGAAACTATGGGCAACCTCTGATTGCATTCATAAGCCCTTTATAAGTATTCAGCTCAAATCTCTGTTCTTCAGAGAGAAGAAAAAACAAACAAAGAAAGGTGCCAGAAGGAGAGAATATGTGGAGAGGAGGCACCCATTTTGGTTCTACTCTTATCTGGAATTTGCTTCAGCCCTGCTTTAGCAAAAGATACACTTCAACAAAAGGGGAAAAATATAATTGCCAAATTCTGCCTTAGGAATTGGGCTCTAATATTGTTGGTAATTTCTTAGAGTATTGCTGGTGTATGACCATACTAAATTGATGATGATTTCTTAGACTAATTTTTAAATGCACACTCTGGAACCTATATGCAGGTCTGTGGCTTGGCCATCATTTTGTTAGCAGTTACTTCCAGTACGGCTGCAGCATAAACAAATGGGTTGCTAAGTGAAATGGCAGCATGTCTGGAGAAACCAAGATTATGGAACAAGAGCTTTTTAGAACCAAAGAACCATATCTTCAAGTAACAATTATTATATTCAGATAGTAAAATGTCCCAACTTTAGTGATGATCCAAAATTCGATGTAACAATTCCAGAAGTTTATTTTAAAGCCCTTTTGTTTTATCATGGAGTCTCTATTCAAATGGGTTTTTAAAGAAGAAATAGTACATCCTTTGTGCTAATTTTATGATCTAACATTTTATCCATTCAACACAGTTTCAGCCTTCCAAAGTGCCACTCTCAACCTGCCAAAATCAACATCTCTACATTATGTACAGTATGATTTGATAAACCTTTTAACTTTTCCAGATGGTTATCTTGGCAGGAATCATTTTGACAAAATGTGCTATCCAGTGCCATGCTGCAATAACTATTAGTTACGTACAACATTAAGTGGTTAATTCCTGAAATACTCTGTTCTTCACCCGAATCTTGCATTTCCCCCACCCCCCAAGGATAAGCTGAACCAAGCCATTCAGAATGGCTCAACCCATTTCAAAAATAAATGCAGATTGGGGGGTGGGGCAGATATCACCAGTTCATCTAAAGTACCCAGCTGCCTTATTATGGGGAAAACCATAATGCTGACAAAGATTGAAGGAAAAGGAGGGCAAGAAGCAGCAAGGTGGGTGGACTCAAAATGCACTGGCAATAGGTACCCCATCAGAAAATCTGAAGGAGAGCCAGATCATCTTGGAGAGATCTACCTATGTAGTTGCTAAAAGGTGACACTACCTTGAAGGCACACCATCAATAAATGTGTTAGCAATTATGGCAGTTCCTTGGATTGTCTAGTGCTTTGCACTAAAAGATAAAAAGATGCAATGCTTTCCACATGACACTGTTTGCAATTCCTTGAAAAAAAATCTGTGCCCCTCCCCCATCGTGCACAGGAGAAAAGGTACAGTCACTCTGAGAAGTTGTAACCTGGGGTTAATAAGTATCTTTAAATCTGAAGCATTGAAGAGCCTGAATATTTATCACCTCACATCAGATGCTTCTCTATCAGTTGCACGGAAAGAGGCTGTGTACTACAAGAAAGCAAAACATCAAGGCTCAGTAGTGCTTCTCTGCATGTGAATGTTTTCTAAAAGGTGGGTTGCTTAAATGGGTTCAAAGCACAAGTTTGTTGTTGGCAATCCAGTATTGTTTCACAAAAGACAAACTGAAGAAGTGACTTTACTCAGGTTGCCTCTAGAGAAGAGCAAGGGTTGAGGATAAGGAGCATGAAGAAATTTATTTTCAAGGATATGGGGGGAAAGCCCAGAGGCTTAAGAGTTAAGAGAACATTACCCAGAAGAAGAGTCCCCTATAGAGATGCTTTGTCTTAGGGAACAAGCACATATTTCAGCCACATTTGTTCATTTTTTGCTCCTTTCATTGCAATGTGTGTTTTTGGCGACAAGCTGGGGGAGAAGACACAATTTAAGCTCTTGGAATTCAAAAGTTATTAAAGTTTATCTTCCAAAGGAGCAATAGAGATCTTTTTAGGGGAAGGAGATGGAGTGCAGTTTCAAAGTCAGATGAGCTAAAGAAGAGAACACATACCTGCTCCTTTCCAGGGATATATAAGGAACAATATATACTGGTATTTTGGGTATTTCAAAGCAATGTAGATAAGGATAAGCATTTGTGGGAAGTGTATCTATCTGTTGGGATGCTCTCTCCCTTTGTGCTCCTATCTAATTGTGTAGAAGAGGAAACCATTCCAGCTTTGCTGTGCTCTCCCTCCCTTCCTGCCTTTCTTCCCTCCCTTATCCACCATGGAATCTATAAATCACTTCTGGCAGGTAGCTGGGAAGCAGCGGCTAATGATAGTTTTGCTCTGGAGGAAAGGAAGTCACCTTTTAACCCTGCCTGCTGTTGTTTCTCTTACAATAAGACTAGAGAACAGATAAAAAACAACATGCCAACTGTCACAGAAGATCTGGTCACAACTGCAGCAGGAAACCTTATGCCAGACCCACAACATGTTCAAACTGAGGATGTCTGTCCCTCAGTCGAGTGTTTTGATGGGATGCCTTTTACCCTTCACTCATTCAAATGCTCCCTAAGTTCAATCAGTGACGAATCAAACAGCCAGTTTTCTGAATGGAAAAATAAAAAATATTGCATGCCCGTTTTAGCCCTACTATCAACACTTTTGACTTATGAAAAATCAAGGGAGGGGAGAGAGAGGGAAATAGAGAAGCATCATGCAGTTTAAGTCATGAGAGCTAAGGCTTAATAGCCCAAATTCCAGAGAAAAACCGGTGCCAAAAGTACAACACAAAGTACGAATTAGCTTTAACAGGAAATGGTGAGATGCTGATAGCCTGAATAGCTTTGACAGCAGGCCTAGGCCAATATATGAATGGAACCCTTTTGTTCCTTCAGTGATAAATAGGTTATAAACATAATAGAAGGTAAGTGTGTCTAAATTTCTTAAAAGCTACTTTTCAAATAATTTCCGGTAAATAAATCATATGAAGCATTGAAACAGAATCTATTCAAATAATTACTGAGGGTCTATCTAGCCAGTTTACTTTTCAGTTTGTGAAACTTGAGAAGATGGACAAAATCCTTGGAATGACAAGGTCTACCATGCCTGTCATGACTTATTAAATTTTCTAGGGCAGAGCTGAGTGATTGGGTCAAGGAGATGATAAATGTTTTCCTGAAAGACAGCAAGGTCCTGATTCATCTTGAAGCTGTAGACCTTTTAAAGACACCAGTCTTTTGCTACAGCATACTTTAGAAAAACAAAAACAAAAAACAGATGTGGGGAATAAGCTCTGAGCATATGGTTCAGAGTGTCATGGTTTGACTGAAATAGATTGTTTAGATCTGCTCTAGCAGAACTTCTGGAAGCGATCATTTGGAGATTACAGTTGGAATGCCATTAATATGCTCTTCTCTTCCTTCTTTTTCTTATCTGATCTTAGGGAAAAAGTGGATTTTTTAAACTAGTGCCACAAAACTTTCTGAAATAGGTAAAAGAACCTAAGTATTAAACAAGATACTAGATTTTTCTATTTACTTACTAAGGTTGGAGAGACAGTTGATCTTGGAAGTTTCACTAAGCTATATGAGATGAAACTGCATTCCCACTTGAAGCAAAAAAAAAAGAGGGGGAAGGGAGTGAATCAATAGAGCCATTCCCACTTCTACCTGTGGTAGAATAGCATTTATCAACCTCCATCCAATTTGTTAACTGTTCCCTTTTCCTAGGGAAATTAACAGTGAAAATTCAACTTTAGAATGGCTGCTCAGGATAAATTTATCGACTGGATGGCAGTTTTAAAGCCAAAGACTATATTGACACCTTTCATTTTGTTATCTTGTTATCTTTATTTTTTTCTTTTACTGATAGGATTATGTCATAACATTTATTTTTGCAATTTGCCTTATATTTTTGTTGCAGAAAAGCAAAAAAGATGCTCAAAGTAAACAAATCAATAATATTTCCACATGTAAATTTGCATGTAACTGGAAGCGCTTAGCCAAAGTTGGCTGATCGCAAAATACGGTTGGACCTGATAAATGCTTGCATGGGATACCAACAGGATATCTATGCCTGGGAAATCAAAGCAGTATTCTACAAGAATACTAACCTAATAATTTGAATATTCTTGCCAAGAAAGCAACATGGAGGTGGTCTTCGTGTTGTCACCGAAAGCTCAGTTTGGCTTAAGAGAGATTTTATTACCACTTTTACGACCAACTTCTCTTTGAGCGAAAGACAATCGGTACCCTCCTAGGTTCTACTTCTCATGAAAGATAAAAACTATTCAGAGGCCAGAAAAATGAATTTGATATGAAAGATACGTACAGTGAAGACATCGTCATCTCCAACTTCAGTTTCGTTATGGATCGTGGAAGATGATGTCGTAGAACCTGCAAAGACATTTTAAAATGTATGTTGTTCCTTTAGATAAAACATTGTATTCCAGCCACACCCTATTAAGAAAAATGTAGCGGAGGACAAATATTTCTTTTGGGCACAGTCATCTCTCTCATAAACCACCTGTTAAGCCCACATTTCCAAAGTCAAACAAGCCAGAGTGTTGTGCTGGAATGAAGAAGAGCGCCTGGACTCATGATTAAAAACCAGGTCAATATTCTTTAGGACAAAACCATTTTTTCCCGTTTCCACAAAAGCAATTCTATCTGGAATTTTGTTTTTGTGAATTCCTGATCAAGTCTTTTAGAATGGTACAAAAAATTAGGTGAATTAGGACTTGGGATTTCCTCTTGCCACTCTCCAACTATGTAAAGAATTTAAAAACCCAAGATACAAATTAGTTGGCAAAATAATAATAAATAATTACAACTTAACATCAATCTTAAAAAGTCTATTCAAGATAACAGCAAATATGGAAAACAAAAAGAAAGACCCACAGTATGAGAAATATATGACACTTGCTCACTTTGGATTAACCTTACAGTTCCTTCTAATATTAACAGTTCCTAGATAGTACAGAGGACTGGCTGAATGATGGGATCACATTCTCTGAAAGCCAATATAGAAGATTAAGACTCTGATTTAAGTAATGTAGCAGGGCTTCAGTGAAAGACATGCAACGTTCTATCTTCAAAGTTGGCACCAAAAACAAAGAAATGGGGGGTGGGGAGAATAGAGAAGACAGCCATTTTGCTACACACATTAAAGTGGTAGGATATTGTATAGTACCTTCTGTGAGATCTTCAATGGCTTTTCTCACCCCTCTGTCAAATGCTCGTGCATCAGCAGGGCTTAGAAAAGTGAGTCCAAATTTTCGGTTGTCAACTTTCCAGTGGTGAAATGTAGGATTTGCCTTAGTGTAGATCAAGTCTTTTTTCACATAGCATTCCAGCACCACCTGGGGTGAAAATGCAAAGATGTGCAATGATGATATTTACAGGCAAAGGACACAAGTTTGTTAGCGTATTTACTACTTCCTCTCGCACACATAAAAAAAGTAAGTCTGCTTATTTTGCAGTTGTTTGGTATGACTCTCCTTTCAACACAAGAAATCAGGAAAATTAAATGAGAGAGGACAACATGCTTGAAACATTTCCTGCTTGGCTGATAGAGGAACACAAACCTTTATATTACACACCATATTTCATATCTCTGTAAAGCCAAGTTTAACTTCTTTAGGAACTTATTCTCAACATGTGTTTGTGTATAAATATTATACCATTTCAGCATTCATGACTTTACTCCTTTTCATGCAAAATGAAATCCAATCCATACAGTTAGTACCATGGAGTCATTGCTGCTCCATTTTATAATGAAAACTCCTTAATCTCACAATACATGGACAGACTCAGTTTCAACTGGGAAATTACTTTAAACCAAGCCAAATCCCAAAATGCTAGGGAATTCCTGGAAGCCTGGCATTTAGACAAATAAGCCATCAATAGATACATAGAGACAAATCACATTTACATATGGTTCAAAAGAGACAATAAAAAAGCTAAAAAGGAAACAAAAAACTAGAACACATCCTGGCCAGTAGCTTACACCCAGATAAGCAGGGATTAACACAAGACACACACAATCAAGCAGAAAACAATGCCTTAATCAGGGAACTACCAAGGAGAAAACTATATTCCCACCAACACTGGCAGTGCAAGCTACTGTATATAAACAGGAAGCAAATCCCACACTCACTAGGACTGATGATGTGTCTGCAAGCAAACAACTAAGCTCAGAGAATATCAAGGATTCCACAGTTCAACCCTGAGGTACAAATATTCTTTTCTTTTGGGCAATTATTACCACACTGATCACTCACATCTCAGAGCCAACCATGTAATCATTATTCTTTTTCTCTTCCTCTGCTACAGTTTTGTCTAATTTAATATCCTCCGGACATATTGGACTACAGCTATCATAAAACATTGGTAGAAGCCCAACAGGCATGCTAATTAGAAGATACTAGAGTTTAATTTATTATAGTGTTTTCAAATTGCTTTGACTCTAAGCACATCTCCAAACCAGTATCTTATCACTGAATCAGTGAAGCCCAGCTCATTCAAAAACATCTGTATGACCAAACCATAATAACTGATTCATCATCTCCTTCGTATTTATTTTAACAGTACCTTCATTTATCAGTGGTTTAACCACTCACGGTAGAACAACCGCATTTTTAACAGTTTCCAAAACATTAAGATTTGTGGGGTTGTAGAAACTACCCACTAACAATTTTGCTATTTTCCCTATTGAACCGGAAACAGCTAAAATCTATATATTGTGTTATTGGTTAAGACTTGGATAGTGAGACCTACATTATAACTGGTACTGAACATAACAACCCTGTAAGTTAGGTTAAGTTATTCATTTATGATTGAGTTGTAAATTAAGTTATTCATTATAAAGGTTTAAAGGTTTTCTCTGTCCAGCTGAGGGATCATGCATTGCCTGAGAGACGTTTCCATCATCATGTGGCCAGCATGAAAATACAGAACACAGTGACCTTTCCCACCAAAGTGGTACCTATTTATCAACTTGGATTTCCATGCTTCTGAACTGTTAGGTTGGCAGAAGCTGGAATAAGTAACAGTAAGTCACCCCATCATGCAAAATTTGGTCTTGAACCTGGGCTGTCAGCTTTCCTGGTGACAAGCTCAGGGTCTTAACCGTTGAGCCATTGCGCCACCCTTATTCATTATGATTGCCACCAAATCATCATGAAGTCATGATGGGCAAATGCAATTCAGAACTCTGGAAAAAGGGTAAGCAACTTGGTTGATATGCACCCTTCTTTCTGTTGACAGGATGTCAACTCACACAAGCTGCAAAAAGCCATGGCCATACTTTCAGTGACAAACCTGAGGAATTTGGGGTGTAGAGTAAAGGCAAAAGCATGCTTAGGTCACCTAGAACCTCAAGCAGACCCCACATCTGATGGGACCACTTCATTTTTGAGGGGCCATTCAGAAAGATAGTTTGATTTGAGGAAACAAACTTCTTTAAAGAAGGGGAAGAGACAGAAAGATTTAATGAGGAGGGTAAAGCCCAAAGCAACCCAATTAGGAGTGAAAATGTTCAGTAGCCACAGAGCATTTACAGTGGGGAAAATGAAGAGATGGAATGATTTTCTTTATAAATGAGACTGTCTGCTAAACAGCATTAACTTACCTTATTAAAAGTATCTAAAATATATAAACTGCTTCTAGTTCATACTCTGCTTTTACCAACAGTAATTCAACCCACAACTAACTTGTTTTATTCTTTATCAATTCTTCTTGTCTTAGAAATACTGTCTCCCCTTTCTTTTATTTTCTGGCTAGGATCACATTTCACTTCCAATGGAGTGGAATATTGCTGAGAAAGGCACAGTTGGCTAGGACTCTGAAGACTTCATGCTGCAACATTTTATTGCAGGCCTCATTTGTTATGTCCAAGACCTAAAGGTGCAACAAAACGTGTATCTGTTATCTCTTTAGTTTGTTACCCCATCTTTGGATTAGACTAAAATTTGTGGACAGGGACACCTTCTGATTAAAAGTGGGCAAGAACTCCCCAAAATATGAGAGTTATTTGACCCAAAAAAGCAGGAAGCTGTGGTCACAGCAAAGTCACAGCAAAGAGCTATGTTTAAATCATCCTGGCATTTTTGCTCTACTGGGCTCTTATCTCAAATGAAATGGTATGAATAATTCAGTCCCATTTCAAAAGCTGGAATTACCTCATACAATGTGGCTGGCTTGGTTAGTTTTTTTTTAAAATATTTCTAATCTGTTTAGCAAATTTTGGAAAAAAATGTGTTGTTTTCCATTCTCATTCTCTTTAAACCTTTAAGGTGTTTAAACATTAATAGGCACCTTGCTCTTTGTGAAAACAATACACTAACAATGCACTAAGAGAAGTTTTGTAGATGTATCACACATGAGCTTAGAAATGTTAAGAAAGATGGGAGGGGGGCATTTTGGAAGAAAATGGACCAAAGTCCATACCAAATCAATTTAATTTACCAGTTTGTCTTTTTGCCTTTCTCCATGGATGAGAAATCCATTTCTTCCATTAGCCTCTGTGCACTGGATCTTGCAGACACCAACCCTACTAAGGCCACCTCCTTCTTGGGGCAGCCATCCTCCACTGGAGTCATCTCGGGTCATAACCACAGCTTTGACTCGCACAATATAGCTGTCACTGCAACAGACAAAAACAGGAGACGATTAAACCACAGAGTCCATTTCACAGTTTTCAGCATCTGATTATCTAAAGCTACAGAAAAACCATGGGGATGTAGACCTCAACTAAAATGTGATCTGCCATCATAGCTAAAAAGTGATACAACAAAAAGATTCCAGGCGTCATTCATGCTCAATCCAGCTGAAGACCTCAAACTGCCTCAAGGAAAATCTTCATATTGAGAAGGTAGATCTTCCTTTGCACGTGAGCAACCTACATTCGGCACCAAAAAACCTCAAGTAATTCCACACGCTAAGGCAGTGGTTCTCAACCTTTTTAATGCCGCGACCCCCCAACCGGTCGTAAGTCGAGGACTAAACCGGTCGTAAGTCGAGGACTAAACCAGTCGTAAGTCGAGGACTACCCAACCGGTCATAAGTCGAGGACTTTCCCTGCCCGGGAGTGCCGCGCATGCGTGGTTCCGCCCCCTGCGCCGGCCAAGGCGTAGCTGGCAAGCGGCAGAGACGGAGCAGGCCGACCACCAGCTGGCCCAGCTCAAGGGAGGTAAGGCAACCGCCGGAAAAGGGGAAACAAATGGCGGACAGCCTTGCTTGGCGACCCCCGTGAAATGGTCGATCGACCCCAAATGGGGTCCCGACCCATAGGTTGAGAACCGCTGCGCTAAGGGATGCGGATGACTTTTTAATGGGGATGGGGGAGGATGAATAGTTAACAATCTATGGAGTGAGATCAGTGTTTATGGTTCATTTTGAAACAAAAAGATTCAATCTGGCCTTCTGGGCTCTTGCCTATAAAAGCTGACCTCAGAACAAATGCATTATTAGACAATGCTGCTGCGTGACTCTTGCTGCATGGAGCTATTGGTACTTGAAACAGGAAGGCCAGAACTGTAAATATATAGTTTTTGGAGATGAGGGAGAGGAATGGTAGGATTGAAGGGCAAGTTGAAGGGTAAGGTGTCCAAGTACAATAGAACAGCATTACTGTAGAAACCCTAGGACTGAGAAAAGAGAAGGATCCTTTAATTTTGCTTTTATTTCCTCCTGTTTCGTCATTTCCCGAATCCTACACAACTTATCACAAGCTTACCCACAGGAATCTTTATTTCTATTTGTTACACTACAAACACTCCAGCAGGAATGAAGTGCTGGCTATTTTCAATTCTATTTTCTTAAAAGATCAAATCATGTAGCTTCTCTAAAAAAGTGCCATCTCTCTTCTCTTTCTCTCTTTCCAATTATTTTATGTAATATAATATATTTTCCTTACAGAAAGAAAATATTCAACAAGATACTCACATAAACTCATGATCAAATCCTTAATGGAGGACTGCATTAGAATAAATGCAACTGAAATTCACAGATGCAGCTTTCAATCTGGACTTCAGATTAGTAATAGAAACACTTTGTACTTTGTGGAGGTTTATATGATACAATGTGATTTCAACTACAGCTAACTTTCGACTTACAACAAATCGTTTATTGACCATTCAATTACAATGACACTGAAAAAAGTGACTTATGACCAGTTTTCACACTTATGATCATGTGACATCTCCATAGTCACATGATCAAAATCAGACACTTGGCTAATGACTTATATTTATGACTGGTTGCAGTGTCCTAGGGTCATGTGATCCCCTTTTGCAAACTTCTGACAAGCAAAGTCGGTAGGGAAGCCAAATTGACTTAACAAGTTTGGCAAGAAAAGTCATAAAATGGGGCAAACTCAATAAATGTTTCACTTAGCCACAGAAATTTTGGGTTCAATTGTGGTTGTAAATTGAGGACTACCTTAAAACTCTCTCTTCAAGGAAATTTTGAAATTCAATATATCATGAGAAATTAAGCAATCTCTCTCTTTGGATGTGTTCTCTCTCTCTCTCTTTTTCTCTCTCACACTCACACACACACACACACACACACACACAGAGGGGGGAGGGGGGAGAGAGAAACATGCCTGGTAAGGTATGACTCATTTATTGTTTTTCTACCACAACTTGGTGAACAAAAGCAAATGGAAATAAACCAATAGTTCTTATTACTCTGTCCGTCCATCCTCCCATTCAGGGTATGTCTGCCCAGTAATAAGGATGCCAGCCCAGTACTCTATTGAAAAAGTAGACCCTACCAACCTTTTAAGATATTTACTTCCCACATAGATATTTATATGTCCAAGACTATAAATAACTTCAATAAACAACTTCCCTAGCCCGGAAGTTCTAAACTCATGCTATTTTGAGGGCAGTGTTTCATCTGTACATCTTGTATTAATAGGCTAATATAATTCAACTGATGCCTGTGATGGTGGAAGCTTTAGGAAAATGCATATCTCCAAACTACTAAGCTAATTGGTAAATACCTAGTCCTTTCTACCACTCTTTTCATAGTCTGTTTTCTGTCCAGAACAAGAGTCATCATTTTATTTAACTGCAAAGAGGTATCCCTAGATCAGGGGTAGGCAACCTTGGCTCTTTTACGACTCATGGACTGACTCAGGAATTCTGGGAGTTGAAGTCCATGAGTCGTAAAAGAGCCAAGGTTGCCTACCCCTGCCCTAGATCAACCAGAATGAAAAGACTGAATAAAATCTCCCACATATATTTTTTTAAAATGGAAGTATTTTCTTTATCACTTGGGGTGTAGCTGGATACTATATTATAAGCTATATATCCATGCTACTGATAGCATGGACTTCCACGCCAACATCCTTCAAGTCTTCAGTATAGTATTTATGAAAAGAATCTGGTTCAAAGACAACTTTAATAAATACTAGATAACTGCTTATCAAGTAAACAGAAAATACAGTAAATGGCTCTAACATTTGATTTTCAACATCAAACATAATATCAGAGGTTAACTGACTAAATAGGACTAGTGTCAGTGCCATTTGTATCTCTATTCATGTATATCTGTAATTAATGGGGGAAAAAAGATTCATAATGAATTTGGATGATGGAAGAATGTTTACAAAGAATAGGACAAAGTGGAAAAATAAGACAGAAATGCTAGTCATAAAACTGTGGGTAGTATGTAAGGAAAGAATGTTTGCCAAATGGAACAACATAGATGCATAGAAAGAGTACTTCTGCTTGTTTGGTTGCATGGAAATATATGGATACTGGGTATGTCAGGAAAAACAAAAACAATGTGAATGCTGTGGGAATGTACTTATGCAGTACATATACTTATATGTGCGATAAGAAAAGCATGACAGGATCAAGAATAAATAGGTGTCACGTGAATGTGGATTGAATACAAAGTCAGTGACCAGTATGAAAGAAATATGGAGTAGTCATATAGAGAGAATGTATGAGGATTAAGGTGGCAAAAGAAATATATGAAAGAGGAATGAACAGATCAAGAAAAGGGGAAAGATGGGGAAATTCATGGCAATTTATGAGATCCTAAAAGAGAGGTAAGAATTTAAAGATCAAAAGGCAGATGGACAGTAAAGTATGGCAAGTAAATACTAATTGATTAGATTTCTTTTAATTTTTTCTTACCTCCTATTTTTATTTTGCTTTGTTGGCTACTTTCTGCTTTTCTCCTGAGGCTATACAAACATGTTGCTAACTCCAAAAAACAAAAAACAAAAAACCCACCATCATGAGTCCCTATGTTTGTATCTTCATTAAGAATGATGTATTACTCTATATAGGCTACATACCCTATAACAAATATATGGAAAGAAATCCATTTGTCTTCAGCTTGGATATTAGTTTTCTAAGAGATAAATTTCTTTCTGTACCAGGTATTGCAAGCAAAACAATATATCCATTTTATAATAAAAGTATTGATTTATACTACATTCAATGTTTCTAGAAGACATTTAGCATTTTCAACTTGGTGCTCCGTCTAGTCCTGTTTTGATACCTCCCTCAAGCATGGCCATAGTAAGCTGAAATCTAACCCAACCTGAAGAAAATGGAGGTATTTTTAAGATTTGAATTGTATTTTCCCTTAATGATGGTTATTGGTAGCATGTTTAGTATTCCAAAATAAGGTTTAGTTTCCAACTGATATCCTTTCATGAAACAATTAAAGCAGCATTTCTGTATTATTCACATTGATTCAAAATAAAACTACATTTCTCTTAATGCAGGATATTTTGGGCGTATTAACTTTAAGTCTCTTTTTATATGCTTCTTGGTAAATTCAGCCTTTGCCAAGAAGCACAAATGCTACTATATAAAACATCCTTTTCTAAATATCTGAAGGTAAAATACTCTAGGCACACAGTTATTGACTGTGAACCTATTCTGCTTACAAAGATTGAAAATGATAATATAGATTAAATATGATTATGCTTCCTTGCTGACGTGAAGGAACTATGTCTTCATTAGGATTATTAACATTATTAATGGTACGTATATAGCACTGCTCAGATGCTTAAAGCATTTCTCATACATTATCCTTATGATAGCCATGTACAATAATCAGCAGTGATCACAGCATATTGCAGCTGTGGGGCTTTGAGAATGTGCTAGCCTAAAGTTTTAGACATAGGTACATTGTTCAGTTTATGATAGGTCAGAGTCCTCTTGCAGAGATTCCCATGCACTTTTAGTTTAAAATATTCTTTTCTCTTTCTTTCTTTTTCAGAGCACTTTTTCCTCCTCTTGTTTCTTTTCTTTCTTTAAGTTTAGCTTGTATTATTAATATGGCTGTCAGACCAAAGGCATTTATTTCAAAGGGAGGTGAAAAGTTATTAATTTCAAGCAGTTTTATGTTATTTTAATCTTTCCAAGTGACTGACAGGAAAGAACAACACAATGAATGCAATAATAGTCAACACTATCTTCAAAACCATAGCTTGTAACTTCTCTATGTATTATAGATCCATCCATCGTCAAAAGATGTGGATGTCTTAAAGAGCAAAAAATAGGAAAAAATCTGCCCAGCTGCAACTTGCAGGAAGTTGATATCATGGGGTAGTACAGGGGTGTCAAACTGCCGGCCCATGGGCCAGATGCATCATGCAAAAACCACGCCCACCCCATTGCCGGCAATGGAAAAGAAGTTGCAATATGTCGTGACATGTCACGTGACGTTGTGAGTTTGACACCCCTGGGATAATAAGATAAGGAGGATCATATCTTCTCCACCTCCGCTGAAGAGACCCATTTATAGTAATGGTAGTATACTGATCTGATCTATAGATTGAAATAAAGACAAAGGAAGAAAGATCCATGATCAGATATACCATGGTTTAGCATTATGGCTAAAGAATTGCAGTTACTTATAACTTAATATCTTCTAGGTGTGATTCCCCCCCCCCCCATTTTCCACAATCTTAGCTGATATGAATGTTGCCAAATTAGTTGGAAACTTATGGGAGGCAGAGCAGGTGCACAGTTTTTATAATTATGACTTGTGTATTCCTAAGTATAATTATAATATTCTCTAGGAGACAATCAAAGGTTCATAATTTCTTCAGAAAATCACAATTAGCTTGATATACTATTAGCGTGAAATAGTACTGAGGATATCTAAAGCAATCAATTTATTGAGCTGTGCATTTTGAAAACCTCAAAGAATATCCTTATTCAAGACTCTAGGGCAGGGGTGTCAAACTCGCAACATCACGTGACGTGTCGTATTGTGACTTTTTCCCCATTGCCAGCAATGGGGTGGGCGCAGTTTCGGCATGACGCATCCAGTTTGACACCCCTGCTCTAGGGCATCATTCTATGCACATCCTGTGTATTTGTAAAAAATAAATAAATCCTTTGTCATATTACATTATCTCTTTTTTAAAGAACTTCATAATAGGGACCCTAGACATAATAATTAAATGATACTGGAAAAGTTGCATTGCTTGAAAATCTGAGAAATAGCTGTTCTTCCCTTTGTTAATCAAAACCTTTGACTGGATTATCAAACTTATGTCAGAATAAGGGCAACAACCCATTTAGTAGAGTTGAAATCTTGACAAGTGAAGCTGCTTTCCGATTTTCTCAGCTTGGATACCCCAAATGCAATTGTCTAAAAAGGCACAGTCCAATTATAAATATAAAAAGTCCTAATATTCTAATTAAAGAAATATTAATATA